GAACTTCAGATGCATAAATTGAGGAAAAATAAAATTTGAAATGTCTTCCATGTGGCTCGACGGTGTGGACTCGAATGGATCGAAAGAACCAAGTCCAAGTTTTCCAATTTACGCGAAAATATATTAAGGCCCTTTTTTGCACGTTAGAGGTGTAGTTTTCTTCCCCAGGAAAAAAGAAGAAAAATGGTCACTCGAGCAGGTTCTCGTTAATCCGGACGAGCCGTTAATCCGGATAAAATCACCAGTCTTAATGAGTCCGAATTAATGAGAGTTGACTATATATATTACTGGCAGGTTTGACGCTCTATGATCAAAGAAAAGTAATAATGCATTTAAAAAATAATTTTTCGGAGCTTACCTCTAATGATGCGGCGAAATTCATTAATGGGGTTTGCAATTCTCGCACCTTCGACGCTTGGTTTTTAAAATGAAATTGTTTTGGGAATTTACTGATAGTGACCTCTTACGACCTCCAGCACGAGGATCGTTAAGGTAAAAATTAACAATGCGTCATTAAGTGTTCCAATTGTGATTTTTATTCCTGTCTGTAGTAGACGCACTCTTCTTTGCACATGAATCTCCCGCAAAAATAGCAGCTGACAAACTCAACTTCAGCGCTTCAACGCAATGATTTGTATGGACAATGCTGCCTGTTTCAGGTGTTTTGTCATCATATTTATATCTAAATTTGGTCACAAGGACTCAAATGATGTCCCTGTTCAAACACTTCTTAATCCTACACATAGTTACCTATGAGGAAACACCTCTCTCTATGAAAGTAATCAATACATTTTAATGTTTTCATTTCATTAAAGGAAGTGTGTGCAGAGAAACGGCACTGACTCAAACGTCCGTAAGTATTGATAGATTGGGTATACGAGGTCTGACAATAAAATAACGAGACTGAAAACAATGTAATGCGTGTGGCAACACGGGGATACTGGCGATTGCTGTAACCTGTCACTGCATGTCTTAAATCTGTGCAGTAACAAACTTGTCGCGATACTTCCCGTGATTGTCGAGTAGTACCACTTTAGCTAAAGTTATCTTAGGGGCACTCGTTAAAAATGGGTGATATTATTGTGAACAAAGAATCAACGTGAAATTTCTAATCAAACTCCGGAAAGAATCAACTGAAGTCTTTGAAATGTTTAATCAAGTGTACGGAGGTGAGGTTATGTCCAGAGCAAAATGTCTTTGAATTTTGTTAACGCATTTCTGAAGGAAGGGAAGAAGTTGAGTTTGATAGACGACCTGGACGTACAACAACATCAAAATCTGACGAAAACATCGAAAATTTGAGAACTCTGGTGCGGAGTGATCGTCGTCTTATTGACAGAATGATTGCTGAATAACTGTGTATCAATAGAGAGACAGTACTATTGATTTTTACGGAAAGTTCGACATTCCAAGGACTTCAGTTGGTTTTTTCCCGACTTTGATTAGAAATTTCACGTTGATTCTTTGTTCATAATATTATCACCCATTTTTTTACTTAGGTAAAATGGTACTACTCTGCAATCACTGGAAGTATCGCGATAAGTTTGTTACTGCACAGATTTAAGACATGCAGTGATATGTTACAGTTATCGCCAGTAACCCAATGCTGCCACACGCATTACATTGTTTTCAGTCACGTTATTTTATTGTCAGACCTCATACTCACGCAAAATCTCAATGTTTAGGGAAAATCTTCAGACCCGTTTCCCAGCTATAAAAATAAATGCATACGAAAGGAAAATAAATGCATGAGAAATTCATCCCGCTGAAGGAAGGATGACTTCCTCGCCGGAATGAGATCCCCGCTCATATTTTTATCAGGATCCCGACCCCTTCATCGAAAGGAACCACGTTCTCGTATTGATTGACACTTTCACGAGGAGAGTGGATCCTGGGTTGGGTTCACATTAGCAAATCGTACACCAAGGTTTCAATTGCTAACATGTTGGAAATTCCTACACCTTTCCAAACCAACTGTTGAAGAAGACATTGCGGACCGTACAAAAGCAATTGGCCAGCAGGTTGAAGTTCGCGAAAATCTTCCAAGGATCAGCTAGTAGTAGCAATATACTACAGCAATCCAAGTCTCCCTGGATTATCAGTTGGATTATCTGAAATTTATTCCTATTATATTATAAATTACGAATAAAGTCTTACGTGGGCAAATGTGTTTCGTTTTCATCGTCGTTGGGATTCATTTTCCGTTATTTAAGTGTCATAAGAAAGCATATACTCTCAAATTTGTCTAAATTTTACTTAACATGCGTTTAGCTACTACCACACTATACATGGTGTTTGATAGTGAAGACGGCAGAGAACAGACTGAAACTATTCCCTCACCCTACCCGTACGTACTTTGTTGAGAACCAATTATCATCTAATGCATTCGAGAGTAGCAATCTCGAACTCGCACAGAGGCAGCAATCGTCACAGCACGGAATTCATTTGAGGGGCAGTTTTATTTATTACTAGCGAGTTTTGTTTGCCCGAAGGGCAAACAAACTCGCTATGGTCGCTCCTTCGGCACTCTATTACCTTGGATAGTGATTCATTCACTTTTTGCCGAAATAGGAAACACGTATTTAAAGTATGTCCGCATTGAAATCCGTGACATATTGTGTCGAAAGTCTTGATTTTCTATAAAAATTATTACCTCTATGAGTCAATGTGTGCCTACCTTGATATCTTTTCTTTTGTCCATTTTTGTAAGGGTGGTCTGATCATACGAGGTCTGATCAAAAAGTTCCAGTACTTTTATTCGTAAACTTTATTTTTAATAGGAAAAAAAAATTAAGTGTTGTTCCCTTCAGAGTGTTCCCACCTCGACGCTATGCACTTATTCCAACGTTCCTGCAACTTCTGGAAGCAGCGCTGTAAGTCCTGGAGTGTAAGACTCTTAAGCTGTCTCGGCGCATTTTCCTTGATGCTTGCAATGCCTTCAAACCTTTTTCATTTCACGTGAAATTTAATCTTGGGGAAAAGGAAAGTCACACTGAGCTAGGTTCGGTGAATAGAAAGGGTGGGGCGACACAGGATTTTTTGAAGCCAAAAACTCTCGAATTGTGAGAGCAGTGTGGGCTGGAGCATTGTCGTGATGCAAAAACCAGGCTTCGTTTTGGAAAAGTTGGGGAAATTTTCTTCTAATTTTTTTCTCGCAGACGGATCAAAACATCTTTGCAGTAAGCCTGGTTAACTGTCTGGCCATGTAGGACAAACTCATAATGCATCAGGATCATGATGCATGATCGGAAATTCGACGAAGGGCATAGAGACGACCGGATTTCAACGCTCGTGATTCGCGGCTGGTTAATCCTAGCGCAAAGGAGGTTTCACCATGTGTGCAGTTAACCCCCCCCCCACTCCCATCTGCACTAGTCCTAGCCACCTTCCTAAAGCGGTGTGCCTTTTAACAAGAAAGTACTGAAACTTTTTGATCAGACCTCGTAAATAAAAGCTGGAACCATCTTTATGAGTTTTATTTTTTCAGGTTGTAGCATGGGCCTTTCAGATTTAAACGATGGATAAGTGGACATTTTACCAAAACTCAACTTTTTAAAATAAAATGGCCGCTCCATATTGATGAGCGTACCGAAAGCAACTTGATGTTATTCTGGCTTTATCAGAGCATGTTATCAGAAGCGTGTCCATATTTCGTGAACATTTTGCAGTAGAGCATGTACCACGGTCGGTTCGGCAACGTTCCCATAGGAAAGCACAACATATTGAGTGAGAGCGTCAGAGTATTTTGAACAGTCCTTAGAAATCAACAATGAGATGATTCACAGAACTTCCAGTTTTCTAAAGCCTTTCTGACGGTTTCTAAAGAGAATGTGAATTGCTTCCCGTATGTAATCCGTCCAGTGCAGGATCTCCATTCCACTGATTGTACGGGATGCGGCCAGCAATTCTCATACGCATTGATGAACTTGTTGAAGAAAAAAAACGGATTATCTCTCAACTGATAATGATCCCGGCACCCGTTTAGTCAATATTGGCCTATGTTGGAATTCCCCATGTGCGATTTGGGCTAAACATTGGGCCAATGTCAAATGCCAACGTACGGTATGACATACTGGCGATTGAAGAGATTTCGAATAAGATTCTGTATTTGTACAACATTTTTCAGCACAAAGTCTCCTACCAGGGACTCAGCTACCGAGTATCTCGGTCTGGCTGGGAGTACTCTAGGGAATCCCACTTCCTTTGATATTTTGCAGCCTTCACTCTCTGCACGGGATTCGTATCTCATCGTGATTCCGTTCATCACACATTTGACTCTTTTCCCGCTATGGAAGTGCATGTCCAGGAAGACTCTTAGACGTTCACCTCTTTTATCACACTCGAATCTACTAACTCCTGAAGGGAGATAGGCGTAGCCTCCACAATCACGAATGAAAGAAACCGATTACTTTCATTCTCACCCTATCGAGTGAAGAACCAGTTCGAATCATGCCTACTCCTTATTAGCCTTTAACTCACGACTGGGATCTCCTCAATCCTAAAAATAATGGAGTATGTACATCTTAATTCGTGACACTCATACACATAGATTTCATATCATTTGGAAGACTAATGACTGTTGTCATGGCAACGTACTTAAAGGGACGCCAATGAAACCCGAAAGACAAGACTCACTATTGGAATTTAATCCCACCTTTTAAGTTCTCTGAAGAAAGCAAATCAAGTGACACATTAAAGGTATTGAGGGCTGATAATTGACGAGGGATTCCTTAATAACATTGAAATAGCAGCTACACAGGCACCATGTCGCATCATTTGTGAGAGCATGACATCTTGGGTATAGAGCTGCAGAACTAGAGAAGCAAATTTTTACTGGATGCTGAAAAGTTGATAAATTTCTTATCTCTTTCCAAATTAACCGCATTTGATTCTTTTCCCATCTGTGTGATGAAGACCGCATTATTTTCCCTCGCGCAATTTCTAATGCCAAAGTGTAAAAACCACGAATTCAATGCTGAAAGTAAAGTAGTAGTGAAACCATGATGGTGCATGGATTTTAAAAATCTATTCATCTCCTATCTGTTTTTCTCATCTACCCACAAAGATGAGATTTCTGGGATTAAGGATAAGCATACTGTCACGGTCCTTTCCATTCTGCGGAGGCCATGTGAAGAAGTGTTTACCAATAACTCATTATCATAATTTTCCCTTTATTATCGTGATGATGTAGCTGACGTTACTGGAGAAAGAGCTGTCTGAAGAGAAAGCCACATGGAAAGAACTAAAGGAGCGTCTAAAGAGTGAGCTCTCCATACGTGAGGAGCTAGAGCAGAATATAAGCAAGATCGAATTGGAGCTCCAGAAAATTAAAACTCAGGTATCTCATTCCATACCATATTCTTTCGCCAGAAATGATGATTCACTCTTCCTAGAGCTATCACAAGTGTGGGCATGTAAACATTTTCATTTTAAAAGAAAATAAGAATAAATGGAATCTCCCGCTGATATTATATTTTAGGTCCGAATTCAAAATTCCCAGTGGGGTTGCTTTATTTTGGAAAGACCCACCAGATGCTTTCGACATGGGCTAGTGGAGAATTATTATGACAAGCGAAACGTCAAACTTGTCAGTCAAAGCAAATCACATAATATGGGCATGGGTTATATCAGAAATGTGGTCATGTGACAGAAAATGGAGTCATTTAAGTGAGAGAGGAATCATCAATTCACTAGGTACTGTCCTCATAACGCAATGAGGGTTTCCTCATTGTAGCTAATCGTATTCCGTCCCATAAAGTACACATGGTTCTAATTTTGAACAGTCATGTGTGAAATCAATAATAGCAGATGTTTCCCGTGAGAGCTCCAAAATTTCATTCCATTTCCATCGCAGATTCAATCACCAGGGCAATTGGCAACGGATTACCTGAAAACCACGCAAGAAATCCAGGCAAGTCCCGCACATGTTTCATTTTCTCATAGTACTGATCAAAGCTGGAGATGCGATGAGAACTCCTCATCTTTCGACGAATTAGAAGGAAGAAAAGGGGACGATGCCAAGTCACGGGAAGAATACGGAAAAGGAGGCGAAGTTGACATTAGCCCAGAGAATGAAGGAGAATTGCAAGATCATAAAAAAAAACATTCATGAACTCCCGACGAAAAAATTGATGGAAGACAGAGAGAAACGGCTAGCCAAATATGAAATTGGCAATGAGAGGCCAGGTAGTGGAACAGGAAAAGTGATCTTGCTTGTTGGGGGCACAGGAGCAGGTATGCAGTCATCCTACTTAATGGGGTTTAAAAAGTTTTGCAACTGAACTTGTAAATTTCAAATGATTATTATTAAAAACAATTATATATTTAATCCTACAAAGTACTCCCCCCAGCATCCATACATCGCTGCAGCCTCACCAGGCAATTCTAGAGAGCCCCACGGTACTCAAATGCAGGGATAGATTTTATGGCTGAATTCACTAATTGAGCAAAGTCCTATGCAAAACACCATGGTGTTTGTAAGGAATAATGCTTACCATTGAAACGCCACCACCATTGGAAAGAATAGGCTTTGTTATGTGGATTAGGTCCTGGAAAAACCTCTCCTATTCATTCAAAAGTAAACAAATATTGTGCTCAATATTGCTCAATCAGTGGAATCAGCCCTAAAATATATCCCTGCATGTGAGAACCTGCGGATTTCCAGAATTGCCTGGGGAGGCTGGAGCGATGTATAGATGCTTGGGGGAGGACTTTGAATAATTAAATATATCACCGTTTTAATTAATGAGGTCATTTAAAATTTACAAATTGAGTTGCATAATTTTTTTAACCCCCTCGTAATAATCATCTTGAACTGTAAAAGCAGAGTCCTGCAAAACATCAGAGTTGCACAGGAAAAATTTAATCGTGGGCTTATATGAAAATGGATTCATTATAATTGTGAAATAACTGAAACAAAGGGAGTTTCCCACTCTGGAAAAAGAGAAGATAGTTCTTTCTGTCTGGAAATTTGCGGTGAGGATAATTTAATTGCATGAAACCAATGAAAGGACAATTCGTGGTGTAAAACCGGTACGTGTGATGTTGTTTACGTTTTGGCATATGTATCTGGACTAGAGGTGCGAATGCTAATACAACTTAATCTCTTTCTGATAGGAAGGAGTACCCTCATCAATGGGATCGTGAATTTCGTATTCGGAATGGATTATCATGATAGTTTCCGATTCAAGCTCATCTCGGATGAAAACAAGGTACACCACAGTCAGACCAAATGGATCACGGCGTACCAAATACATATGCAGCAAGGATTCGCTCTGTCCCATTCCCTGACCATCATCGATACTCCTGGATTTGGAAATACAGAAGGCATAAGGGCTGATGAAGAACTGAAATATCAGATCAGGGAGTTCTTCTCTTATTGCGTTAACATCGGAGTGGATCAGCTCAATGCAATTTGCATTGTTGTACAATCCTCTCTGGCCAGATTCACACCCACCCAGAAATATATATTTGACTCCATCCTGTCAGTGTTTGGGAATGATGTCATGGAAAAAATGTACTTATTTATCACATTTGCGGACAACAAAAGACCCTCAGTTCTGGACGCCATCAAAGGAGCCAAAGTTCCGAACAATGATTATTTCAAGTTCAACAATTCCGCTCTCTTCTCTGATTCTACGGCTGATGGTTCTGACGAGTGTGACAAATTTTTCTGGCAGATGGGTGTCACTAGTTTTAAGAAATTTTTCGAGAAAGTCCTAGAAATCCAACCGGTGAGTCTCACATTGACGAAAGAAGTTTTGCAGGAACGGCAGCAATTGGAGACCGCTTTCCAAGGCATCGAACCTCAAATTACAGCAAGTGAGACAATTTGGCTTTCCATAGCCGTGTAATCTTCAAATTCAGCGGCTAGATTAGTTTGTATTTGACTTTACCTCCCATGTCAGGTTTGGGAAGGCTCGAGCAGCTCAGATAAGAATATGCAGTGCTGAAGCAATACGAGGCAAAGTTGGAGGCTAACAAAGATTTCACATATACAGTGAAGGTTCAGAAGCAGGAAATGGTAGATCTGGAAACTGGTGTGTACGCGACAAACTGCCTTAGATGCAACTTCACCTGCCACTACCCCTGCACCATGCCCCATGTTCTGTTAATAGATCGCTGCATTGCTATGCCATTCGTCATGGAGACAGGAGAAGCGACACATTGTACTGTATGTCCTGCCCAATGTCCTCCAGATCAGCACGTCAACAACCAGTATCGGTTCGTATTATATGAGGAAGATGAGACGAAAACCTCTGACGAATTAAAGGCGAAGTACGAGCAAGCAACTGGGAAAAAAGCGACTACCGAAGGGATTGTGAAGAACCTGTTCAATAACTTCAACCAGGAACGGGCAAATATACTGAATTTAACAAAGAGGGCACACGAATGCTTGCAGAAACTCGACATAATTGCCCGGAAACCTGATCCTTTGGGGTTCACCGATTATATCGATCTTTTGATCCAGACCGAGCAAAGAGAAGCCCGTCCCGGTTACGTGCAAAGGATTAAGTACCTCCAAGATACAAAAGGCAAAGCCGAATTGGCTGAGAAGCTCAAACAAGGTTTTGATCCATTCAAGGAATACATGAAGGATTTCGAAGTGGAAGGGTTTGATATATCTATTTCCGATCCGAATTCCTTTGAATGCGAAGTTGGATCATCGGATTACGAGGACGACAACGAAAATGAAGTGCATATGGGGCTTCTTGGAAGATTCAAGAAGACGGCTTTATCAATTTTGGGTATAGGAGAAAAGTAAGTTCCATGGGTTGTCGATTTTTGGAGAAATGAATTTCGGAAGTGATTCCATGCACGTTGAAAGATGCTTCCATGCGCAATATAAGTGTATTGCAGAGAGTGACAGGGTCATAAATACTTGTCATTGGAAAAGGAAGGCGATATTTTTCATAATTATTTTTCTAATGTGACGGCGCTAAAAAAAATTTACCGTATGCATTAATGACGCCTTGTTTCTCAAGCTGACTCTTCTTTGTGTGAAAATCTAGATCCAAATCATTTAGAAAGAGTATCACTTTCATTCATAAAAAGTCAAGAACATGAAGCTCACGGCACGGAGTTCGCTTGGCGAGGCAAATCTATGCTCCTTTTATTCACAGCAGATAACCACTGCGCATTCACCGAAGAAAGTTCTTGATTTGTTTTTTTTTTGTACGAATTTTAACAAGCCTCTTGTCATTGAAAGGGAAAGCGGCTGATCATTATGACAGGAGCATTTTCAGTCTAGTTAACTGGCTGAAAACTCCATAATGGAGTTCGTGTATTGCCTCTCGGAATGTGATTCTCAATAAGGGTTCGTATGGCTTGGAGATATAAGTAAAGGCAGGGTCCATAGGCGCCGAACCCTGGGGGGCAAAGGGGCACGTGTCCCCCCAACTATATTATTGAGGGGGCAACGCCCCCAAGAATGGCAAAATTTCAACAAAGGCACATGGAAAATTGATAACAAAATGCTGCTTCACGAAAGAAATGAAAAGTATGATTTTCCTTTCTGTTTTGAGCTCCAACTGGGGGAGATCCCATAGTCACCCCGTACGGGTATGGGGTGGAAGGGCCATGCCCAGCACCCCCCCCCCCCCCCGGTCGTCACTATGCTACCATAATAATACTGGACTACCCCAATGGATCCTGGAATAACTGCGTCATTGTTATTTTAGGGGCAATAGGAACTTGCCCCCCCAATACTTTTTAGGGTGGAAGGGCCATGCCCAGCACCCCCCGCCCCCCCCCGGTCGTCACTATGCTACCATAATAATACTGGACTACCCCAATGGATCCTGGAATAACTGCGTCATTGTTATTTTAGGGGCAATAGGAACTTGCCCCCCCAATACTTTTTAAAAGTCGGCGCCTATGGCAGGGTCACCTTCGAAGTCTCTTCGCTCTAGGACAGAGTTTTTCTTTAGAGTTACCCCGTTCAACACCTTCCAGCTTTTCTCACTATAGCCGAGCTTCCGCATCGAAGGCGATTAGAGGGTACCTATATCCCTGGCATGATCACTTGTATTCACACAATACTCCTCACACCGTGCATCTATCTATTTTGCATGTAGTTTACATCATTCCTTCCTCCTGTTGTAATTCATTTCATGAGACTTTCTCAGGAATAGAAGTTCTTTTACGGAAGGAAATGGATTTAGATAGGTTCATGGCAGGTTGAATGCAGATTATACTCCTACCAGGAGTTTCACTTATTTCAAAAGGGGCTAGTGAAAGGGACCGAACTAATCAGGGTTTTAACCATATCCTGGGTGGGGCATCAAGGGCCAACGGCCCGCTCCTGTAGATGACAGCATCCGGAATTACGCCAGACAAGACAATAAGAAAACCAAAGGGACTGGATGCGCCGTAAGGTAATCAACATAATTTCTTTCCGTACGAAGATACTATACGCTTAATGACTCGATGACATGTGTAATGTGTAATCCCAAGGAGACTGGATCAGCAGGAAATTAGATTGATCGTAATTTATGCATGAACTGTTGCTGATACTCGATCAACTTCTGAATGATTTTGATGCCACGAATCTACCATTACAAGAATTTCATGGGTACCAGTTGCACGATTTCCAAACAGCTCGGATTGCCTTCTGGAATTCTATAATTGCATATCAGTAATATATGCATGTGGGTAATTCAAAGAACTCTCTCTCAACTAGGCCATTTAGAAAAAAATTCGAGTGTTTGCACGGAACATGTGAGGAACTAGAGGGTTGTCGCAAGAGTCAGCACTCCATACGTGAAGAGCTAGAGCAGAAAATAAGCAAAATCAAGTTGGAGCTTCAGAAACTCAAAACTCAGGTATTTCATTATCTTCTTTCCCCATGAATGATCATTCACTTTTCTTGAAGCTATCAGAAGTTTGAGAGTCTCTTTTTTTCTTGTACAGGAAAATTTATAAAGGACATGGACTCCAAAACTGTTATATCAGAATTTAATTTACATTTCCATGTAGAGCAACTCAATGTTGAGTTTTCTAAAATGCATCAGATGCCATTGACAAAGGCTAGTTGACAATTATAACAGGCGAAACGTCAAACTTGTCAGTCAAAGCAAATCACATAATATGGGCATGGGTTATATCAGAAATGTGGTCATGTGACAGAAAATGGAGTCATTTAAGTGAGAGAGGAATCATCAATTCACTAGGTACTGTCCTCATAACGCAATGAGGGTTTCCTCATTGTAGCTAATCGTATTCCGTCCCATAAAGTACACATGGTTCTAATTTTGAACAGTCATGTGTGAAATCAATAATAGCAGATGTTTCCCGTGAGAGCTCCAAAATTTCATTCCATTTCCATCGCAGATTCAATCACCAGGGCAATTGGCAACGGATTACCTGAAAACCACGCAAGAAATCCAGGCAAGTCCCGCACATGTTTCATTTTCTCATAGTACTGATCAAAGCTGGAGATGCGATGAGAACTCCTCATCTTTCGACGAATTAGAAGGAAGAAAAGGGGACGATGCCAAGTCACGGGAAGAATACGGAAAAGGAGGCGAAGTTGACATTAGCCCAGAGAATGAAGGAGAATTGCAAGATCATAAAAAAAAACATTCATATTCGACGAATTAGAAGGAAGAAAAGGGGACGATGCCAAGTCACGGGAAGAATACGGAAAAGGAGGCGAAGTTGACATTAGCCCAGAGAATGAAGGAGAATTGCAAGATCATTAAAAAAAACATTCATAAACTCCCGACGAAAAAATTGATGGAAGACAGAGAGAAACGGCTAGCCAAATATGAAATTGGCAATGAGAGGCCAGGTAGTGGAACAGGAAAAGTGATCTTGCTCGTTGGGGGCACAGGAGCAGGTATGCTGTTATCCTAATAAGCATCCTTAACTGAAAAATATTACCAAAAAGCAAAGAGGAAATGATTACTAGGGATTTTGCTTTCATGACATACATTCATATTAATTTAGTATCACGAAGACACAATTGAAATACAGTTCCATTTCAACCCTGGAATATGGAAAAGTGGGCCTTTCTTCCTGTAACATTGTGATGATATATGGGCGCTACATTACCTTTCTTTAATCCCTTCCGGCGACTAAATTAAACCGTCTCGTTCTCCTCTCTGAGAGCATCAACAGGAATGAAATTGGGCTGACTATTTCCTCTCTTAACACAGAATCGCTACCTCAAATTTAGAGCTGTATGTCCCAGGGGTTCTGGGTTTTTGGCGGAAAGAGCTAAACCAAACGAAAGGTATTGATTTGCAGGGGACAAAAAGTGTCCTTTTTGTTGCTTCCAGCACACCATTTCCCATTAAAAATAGACAATTATATGCCGTTAATTTAAACTTAGAAGGATGCCTCTGGTCCTTGTCCTACAGTGTTGCCAGATACCGTTATTGAGTTATCCCAGATTCATGACTTCTTCAGCCTCAGTATCATTGTCTGGATCTTCTTTTCTTAATGCAGGATACATTATTGTGCTTAATTCATGGGATGAGCTGAGATGGAATCTGTGGCTAGTAGCAGTGGATAGACTGGATAGAAAACGGAGATATATGATACGGACATCCCTAAATGAATGTATTGGGTTGGAAAGAAAGTATTGCAACACTGCGCAAATTTTTCAAAATTTCATAACTTTATTGAAATGCAATTTCAGTCTACAATGCAATGACCATTGTTGTCTAGGGCATGTTCCCAACGCACGGGTAACTGCTCGATGCCATTTGCCTAGAACTCTGGCGATTGCGAAGCGAAGAAACGGCCGACATCATATTCGACCCGTGCTCGATCGTCGAAGGCCTTGTCCCGCAGGTGATTCTTGAGGGCCCGGAACGAGTGATAGTCGGAAGGGGCCAAGTCCGGAGAATACGCTGGATAGGGTAAAACTTCCCAGCCCAGTTATTTCCTTCAGAAGGTCCTTTCTGTGCGGACGAAGGAGCAGTGATTCGTAGACACCGACATGGCTTGCTTTTTCAGAGTCGCCGAGCCGATGAGGGACCCATGTCGAGTAAACCTTCGATAGCCGAGGTCGTTCAGATGGTTGCCGATGGCCATATGGGTGACTCTAAGTGTAGTCGCCGATTCGCGAGCGAGTCGTGGCGTTCTGCTTCGCGTCGAGGGCGTTCCGCAGGGCTTCGTCATCGACTGTAGATGGACGTCCTGAGCGTGGTCGATCTCCGAAGGTCGTGTCGCCAGATTCCAAGCGTTTGAACCATCGAGACACCGTGGAATAGTGGACGACGTTGCCCTTGAATGCAGCGCAGATGTTGTCCGCGGCGGCTCTCGCGGAGTGTCCTTGGAGGAACTCGTAGTAGGCGATGGGGCGAAGAGTTGCTCGTTCGATCGGAGCCATGGCTGCCAACTGATGGCAGAAGCCGCCTTATATACCCCGATGGCAGAAGCTTCGTGAAAATTCCAGCATATATAAATGCAAAGCCCCGCCCATCACTCCGTTGAAAATTTTTAGAAATAGTCTTAGAAAGTGTTGCAAGACTTTCTTTCCAACCCAATATAATGGTAGCCAGCCTGCATGTCAAATTTTCTAAAGGCCCTTTTTTCTCGGAACGAGTCGAAGCGGTTCGAGGAACTGTGAATAGGCATGGTGTTCCCTGACCACACAGAAACAGTTCATAGAAAATTAAAAATACCTACATTCATTTCAGCATTACATGTTCTCTCTTAAATGGACCATGAGAGACTGAAGAGGCCTGCATTTGGCCTAACGTTACAAGTCCTCAACGAGGTGTCTGGAAGACCAAATATTAATTCTAATAGGCC